AAAAAGAGAGAAACTAAAGTCTAATGCAAGACAAGAGCTGTATCAATACGTTCACGTGGAATCCACTGCAGAAATGGCTCTATTGACAAATCAATACGAATCGCTGACGCAATCATTTTGTGACGTACGGCCGATACAACGGGAAGATCTTTGAAGGGCACTACCCCTTCCTAAGCACAAAAGCGATGAAGTAGCGTTTTTGGCAGTAATTTGTGGATAACATTACATCCGAGCTGGAGAAAATGTGTTAGCTCCTATGGAGCCACAGACAGGGCACGCCATCGTTGTGATGATCACAACGGGGGGGGGGGGGAGAGGAGGGGGTCCTATTCGACCGCAAGGGAGTGGGCGGGTCGTATTTGGTCTGAGAAAAAATCCACTCGGCTTACGGAGGGCTATAAAGGGTGACGGATAAATCCTGACCCTCCCCCACCCGCTCGACGGAAATTGGCTGAAAACTGGAAATTTTTCAGGAAAAATGGGGAAAATTGGCAAATCTAGGAATTGGTAGTAGCATGGGGATGGGGGAGGGGGTCGTATTTGAGGATAGAATTAGGGGAGTCGTATTTTCCAGGAAATGATCACAACGCGATGCCCTGGCCACAGATCCGTTTCCCCCTGAGAGATCGATTTCAATTCACGATCTGTGCCAGAGTCACACGTGGCGTTGAGTTTTGGTCTATCAATTAATATGACTTCCCTCTTGAACTTTTTCTTCACAGCACAGCCCAGTTTATTTTAAACCCATGACAAATGAGAGCAGAAAGAGTGAAGGTGGTGTGATTGATGCTAAATTTACCTCGCGATAGGCTTAATATCTGAATTCCCAAAAAAAAACACTGAACGGCGACGGGGGGGGGGTTTGCACTTTTGCTACTTCCCATCGACGTGTCGACCCATCTAGACAGCCTCTTCTCGAGTTGACAGGTTTTACCATGATGGCTTGACGACTTGCTCCAGCTTCACAAGAGTTCACAGGTTTCACCAGAGTGAGACTGTAATCGGAACTGCTGAAGTAACGGAAGTGCAAAATGCCCCTCCCCGTCGCCGAACTGCGCCCCATATATGATACCCTTCCAGAGAGGAACACATAGCGATGAAGAAAAGTTAATTCAGCATGATCCCTTTTTCATCACTGCCTCTAGTACGACCCCTCTCGGGGGCAGCGATGAAAAAAAATGGTGG